TATATATATATATAAGTAGAATAAATTTAAATTTCATGTTATTTAGATGTCACGAATTTAGCTCTGGAAATTCAAATCGCGGCTTACTACTTTCGATATAATTCCCTAAAATATGCAGGGACAAATTCGAATTCTTACCTGGGTGTTATGTCATCAGTAATGGATTAACGCATAGGCAAACAAGGCACTTGCCTAGGCTGACAAATTTGAGGGAGCGGCAAATTTTTCAAAACAAAATTTTCACACATTTGAGATAAATTTTTAATTTATTAATCTAACGTTTTTGCACGAATTACACCGAGCACATTTTATCAGAAACAATATTTTAAATATACAGTTAAAAATATATTTATATTATTTATTGTTAGTAAGGAATATTGAATGTTTTGACTAGTGCGGGGGCATATATAAATCATTTTTTTATCCATTTTCTCTTTTTATAAAATTTATAAATGAATGAAGAGGCGACTAAATATTGATGTCTAGCAGTGACAAAATCATATACACTTAATCACTATATGTTATTCTTGTTCAACATTCCATAAACAACAAGGATAGCGTTTTCCACTAGAAAAGCTAGTGTATATGGAGTGCAATTAAATACGAGTCAATTCCCATATTTTTATTATTAATAAATAATTTAATCATTTAATTACACATTCTTTGTTATTACGATAAGCTCATAATCTTAAAAGGATTAATTTATTTATTACTGAATACTGAAAATATATAAACCGATTTACATTCAATTGCGCTAGTGTTGCACTAATTTTCCCGCTAGAAAACCTGTTGGCTGTTGCCAGATTTGTTCAAAGGTTTGTATTCCGATATACAGACAGTTATTGGATAGATTGAAATCTGTTAAGGTGCCTTTTCATGTTGACGCTCAACGCTCATTTCAGTGTCAAAATAGATCACGTTCAAAATTGATCAATTCAAAATTAATATTCGTCAAATTCTATCACTTGACTTATTTTAACACCGAAAATGAGCGTCGAGCATCAGCATGAAAAAATACCTTTATTCCCTGTTCCTATTCATCATTAGTTGTACAGTGATCTCGTTTTTTTCCCTTTCTTCACTCACGCTTCGGTCTTTAATACTATCTCGTCGGTGATAATACTAATAGCGTCTCTTCGAACGCCATCACTTGTCTTCTTACATCACATTACTGGGGGTTGATTCTGCATCTTCCAACCAGGTAAAAATTACAAAAGTGAGCAAATTTAGATGTTAATCAATGAAATTATTAATATTCTAGTAAATTCCTTCACTTTTGTAATTTTCACCTTGTTTCAAAATATAAAATCCCCTTATTACCACAGTATATACAGTAGCGCAACTCTTTGTCGGCATTTTTGATGTAGTGTGACCAAATGGAATGCGCATGCGTGAAATAAGTAAGTTACTTAGGTCGATATTCACAGTCAGATACACAGTATAACCAGTAAAGACACTCAGCAAAAAAATGCGTATTCGCAGATATGGCTGCGCAGCTTTTGTTTTGGGCCGGATCTAATAAAATGCAAGATGACAAGAACGTACATATTATACCATGTGAGTAGAAATCCATGGTAAAAGAAGACAATTTAAGAGCGTCATAAATATTTCTAAAAAATGAATTTAAAAAAAGAAAAGTTATGTTATGTGCAGTATTAAATGCAGTAATAATAGTAATAGTAAAAATTCATAATGCACTTTTTTCGTTATCCCAAAAATATCATAAGGTAAGTTTTTATAATTTACAAAAAGCAAAGTTAGTTTATGCTAGGTTAATTTAATTAAACATAATCAAATGTAATTTTTGAAAAAAAAAATATTTTTACGTTGACTGACATTTACACAACATTCTTAATTATGTTTTTTAGAGCAAAGCAATGGACTATCGCATGGGGCATTATATCCTCTTTCGTCCTAGATTTTTCAAACGTGGCGAATGCTCACGTGACTGCGACACGGAGATCAAACGTGCTGACACGGAGTGTCCCTACTAGTTATACTGTGATCAGATCTTAAATTCAAGACCATCTTAAGTAATATCTTAAGACGCTAATGCAGCCTTCTGATTGATTCGTGACTTCTTAAGACCGTACTTAGAAATAAGACTCGACTATGAATATCGGCTCTGTTGCTACGATTACCATCTAATCTTCTTTCTCTTTTCGTTCTTTTTTCATTCTGTCAAAATTCCTTGTAAAACTCATTAGATTTATTCGCATCGCAATCCAATGAATTGAAATGAGTAAGTGCTATTGTAGGAACATATTGGAGTACGCGAATAAATCTAATATTGCAATGAAATAATTTAAACTTTATGAAAATTAATAAAAATAAATTGTAAATATATTGAAAAATAAAGAAAAAATATAGAAAAATTAAGAGAAATATTAAATTAACTTAAAAATGTATATTTATATAAAGAAATATTATGTATTATATATCTATGAAAAAATATTATGAGAAAGCTGATATAAAAGAAATTTATACATATATCTCCAAAAAGTTTAAAATACAAAAGAAATCTTTCTTGTTGTTTTCTGTGTTATTTTTATTCACTTTTTTACTTTATCACTTTTTCACAAAAATTAGACCAATCTTTCGAGATTTCTCACACAACATTTCGCCAAATACACGTAAAACTTCCCTCTAAATTTCTACTCTGAATGTATGCTTGAAGGACAAATGTTTAAGTGGAACGCTTATTTAAATAGAGAGAGAAAGAAAAAGAGAGAGAGAGAGAGCAATAAAAAAGGAGGAAAAGAGACAGACAATTTACATATTTCACGCATGCGCACTCCATTTTGATCAACGTAAAATCAGAAGAGTTGTACTACTATATTATGACATCACATCATAATCCTCTATTGTTCATTGTCTTCTATTTTCACCAAGGAAGTTCAACTTAGCATCTAACAGGCATAGCAACATTTACCGATACGATATCGTGGAATTTATCGAAAGGCGCTAAAGTACGTATTAGGTATCAGCTGATAACGATTTGTTAGAGCAAAAAGATACGCGTTAATTGGCTGTGTGATTGTTATTGGAAATCGATCGGTGAGAACATTCGCCATTAATGTCTTAAATGAATTAATAACCAATAGGAAAGAATTTAATTGTGTTGAGAATCGGACATCCAGTGGGCAGAAGAAGAAAAAATTGTGTTGAAGCGTGATTCGATGATCGTTTTGCTGTGAGTAAAAAATTTGATATAAAAAAAAGAAGGAAGTTCTTTACTGCGGATATGTCGAACAATACCTCGACGACGCGTTTCTTTTATTTTACATAGATTAAAAGTCTATTCTTTTTCCATATTTTAGGATTTTCTTTTTCCATATTTTATATAAAATCAACTAAATAAATTTTGTTTAGTTCATATGATTATGGAACTAAACGTATTGAAATTTCTGTTAGACGAACACATACAAGCTGCAATATGTGATAATTTATTGATAAAGAGGATAAAACTAAATATTGTTTGAATATATAATTATTTAGTTGATTATTTAATTTTCCACTGATAACGTGGGATTTTAAAAGTACAGTTGATTTTTTGATCATGGATTCTGATAGCTAAATTTAAATCTGTAAAAAATAAATAAAATGAAATCTAACTTCTATTGTAGTAAAAACTCGTTAAAGCGTTCACAATGTAGGAATACAATGTATGTAGGAATTTTTTCAAATTTTTATACAATCTAAAATAATATGAAAATCTATACTGAAATTCAAAAATCAGATTGCAAATAAAGGGTGAAATTTTCATCTTGCTGACGAAAGTTAAGGAACTAATTTTGTTATGTATATTGTACTTACCTCATTTCTCTTTAAATATTATAATTTTACTTGATATAAAGAGCTTAATACCTAACTTGTTATTAGCAATATATAAAAATAAGGATATATGTTCTTCTTTGACCATGAAATGTTTGTGAAATTTTTTTTGAAAAGGGATCAATTTATTTTCTGATCTATATTGAATACTTTAATTATTTCATTAAAAAATGCTATTAAAATAGATAATTTTATAATCATTATGCTGTTCCAAATCTAAGAATAAAAGACTTTGAGAATTCTGTCGTTTTATCTTCAAAATTGTCAATAACACAGCTTTTTTCAAATGTTTTGTTTCATGTTTCTTCTAAAATCTCTTTTATTTAGCAATAAATTTTACTGTACTGATAATGACGAAAAAAATATAATGGCTTTTTAATAATTGATATTATAATTTATCGAATTAGATTCTAAAAATGGCAGATGCGGACATCATAGTTTCTTGCCCCTACAATCCAGCGCATCGTATTCGCAGATATAAATTTATGAATCATATATCGAAATGCAAGAAATATAATAAAAAGGAAAATATGGTAGAGTGTCCATTGGACAAGACTCACATTGTAGACCAGAACCTTCTTAGGGTATGTGTATTTAAATTTATTGTAACATGTTTCAAAGTTGCATATCTTGTAAGATCTTTCTGTTCTTCCTGTCATTAATATCAATTTTATTCAATCTTGTAGGAGCACATTGAAATGTGTTCTAGTATTGGAAGAGTGGCAGATATGGATATTGGAATTATTGAAGTAAAAGATCCAGATCCTCCTGTAGCTGGTGGTAGCTTTGATGAAAATTGGGAAGAGGTATGAAACATAAATAACAATTAGCTAATGTAAATTGATACTGGTTTATATTACATAACTTGTATATTTTATTTGACAGGACCCAGAAGTTCCACGTTACGATCCGATGGAAGTTTCGGCAAAAAAACCTGTGATTCGATGTGTGTCTGGATTGTCAAAAGCAGAAAAAAAGAAATTTAGGGATAATGAACGAAGGCGTATAGCAAATCTCAAAGGGTTTCATTCTATGAGCGCAGTCTTAGAGTCTATGACCGTGGTAAAATATATTTCATGCAAACTTAATATAACAATTTTTGAATATATATATATTTAATCTTCAACTATAAAAAATTGTGAAAATTATACTTAAGTTTTAAAGTGTCCTGTTTGAAGTGCACAGAATGCAAGTGAATCTTTATGGCAACTGATAGAGGAAGTTCAAGTTTTTTATATCTACAATTTAGAAAGAAAAATATTTCGCTTTAAGTCCAAATAACCTATTTCTATAGTTGAGGATTAAATAACATGATTATACTATATTGATATAAGTATTCTTTCTATTATAATTTCAGACTCATGAGGCACCATTACATCCATTACGTCCTCCTCGTTACTATGCTACTGTATCATCAGAAGATACTGCAGCGTCACAAGCTATTGCAGCGTCACAAGCTGCTGAAACATCCACAGGCATTTTACAAAAAGATTTTGATGAAATGAAAATACATGAAGATAAAAAACACGATTATAATGATGATCATGCAGGTGCTCGTACTACCTTTCATAATAGTTCATTCCACAGAATGTTATATGATGAATTAGCTCCTAAAGATGACGAGATTAAGCAATTAGAACAGTCTCTATGTAACATTGACTCGGTAATATATTATATTACGTTTTTACATATATAAACATTTGATTAAACTTGATTGTAAATGAGTGATATAAGTGTATCCTTTTTCAATCTTTTAATTACTTATTTTTAGGCAATTTCCTTAAAAGATTATTTCCAACAAGTTACCAGAGAAAATGGAAATTTTTCAATTTCTAATCGAAATCAAAAAGAGAAAAAAACAAAAGTAGAAAGTAAAAAAACTGAAATGGATGCAACTTCGGAATTGTTCAATATTGATATGAAGAAAGCAAGAGACGAATGCATTGCAAACACTTCGAGTGCGTCTAATGAACGAGTTACCGATACACTTCTAGCTTTATTGAAAAATGAATCAAATGCCAAAGAACGGTCTATGAATGACACTGTGGAAACTGATCAAATCATTAAAAATTTTGATGAAAAAGGACCAATACTGGACGAGATATTCAATCAATTCACTGAACGATTAGCTTATTTAAATGATATTCAGAATACTGCTGCCATGGAGAGCGCACGAGTGAGTCAACAACTGAAAGACCTGAAAGAACTTCGTGATCAGATGGCTTTGAGAAAGTAATTATTTCTCACATTGATGACAATTATTGATTAGTAACAATTATGTATCGTTTGGAACAACATGATAATCGTTTCTTTTAAATCTACTAAACATACCAATATAGTACAATTATGATGCTGTGAACTCTTAACAATTGACAAATATCTATTTTCTCATATAGACATGTATGTACAAATAAGAAAGGCCTATATGTGTTCCAAAAAAGAACTCATGCCAGGATGTTCGGCAAGATAGAAGAAAAGAATTATTCTAAATGATAAAATAAGTCAATAAATTTGTAGTATGTTCTATTTATGAATATTCAAGTATCTTGTACATTCATAATGACAAACACCAGAATTTTGATGGAGACTTCTTTAATTATACATGTCGGTTTATGCGTACTTCAGACACTTACGTAAATATTTACAATTTACGTAAACATTTACAATTAAATCAAATCTTAAAATTATTCTTTCAATTTCCATTCTTATTTTATCATCTAATTATTTCTTTTTTTCTCATCAGTTGCCCAAAACATCCTGTATATATTAGACAGTTAACAAACATATATGTTTATATAAATTATATAATAAAATCTATATCGATGTTTATATGAAGAATTGTGTTCGATTTGGACGCTTATAGCACTTGTAATCATTTTATCTTTATTGTTCATTAGACATAAAATATAGAAGTACTGAATGAAAAGTGCTGAAAAACATCCAAATCGACCTCAGCCAAGATGTTATAAAGTTTCTCTCTATATATTTAAGTTTATAAGAATTGAAATGAAAAATTGAAATGAAGATTGAAATGAAAAAAAAGAAAGTTGCATCTTTAGTTTGATTACAGCAACGTTATTGATTAACGTTTGTATAACTATACAAAATATCTATCTTACATGTATATTTTCTTCTTTATCTTTCTCTTTAATCTTTAAGTAATCTTTAAGTAATCTTTAAGTAAAAGTGAATGTTAACTTCTATGAGCATCTTATTTTCTATTCGTGTATTGGGTCTAATAAAAAAATAAACTTTAATGTACATGTTTATTGAAGAGTATTATTATATATAAATAAAAAATAAATTAAATAAAAAAAAATTAATTAATTAAAATGTAAAGGCTTTTTTAAAACGAGCACACATAGTGAACTAGTAGAAATTCCTTTTTAATTACAATCATATAACACTATAAATTTCAAACGTTTCGACTTACAAAGTTTTCATTTTCAGTGATAATAAAGAAAACTTTTATTTTTGTAACCCCATCCAATTTTTAGGATTATTCAGGACTTTCAAGCTTCTGACTTGATACTTAGTTTAATCCATAAGATCTTAGTTTAATTCCGCAAAAATAACTAAATAAGATTAGCATAGAGCGATAATTTTTATTATGTATTTATGTTACTTCGTTGATATTGGATGAGGTTACAAAAATACGTTTTCTTTATTATCACTGATGAAGACTTTGTAAGACGAAACGTTTGAAATTTAGCGTTATATGATTGTAATTAAAGAGGAATTTCTATTAAATTAACTATATTTGCTCGTTTTTTAAAAAAGCCTTGACATTTTAATTTATTGCATTGCATTTACACGAGCCTATTTCTATAAGTAAAAAAATATTTAATCCATCCTCTTTGCATCCTCTTGAAGTGTTCGCTCATAAGTTGTAAAATATGAGAAAAATGAAGAAAATGAGATAAAATTGTATGTTTGAAAAATAAATAATCGCATTGTTTATTTTGTATTATCGCGGTATTTATATCGATTATCGAAGATTACTATAGCGATACTAGTCGATTTTTCATGGCGACTTTCGAGTAATCGAAAACTATCAATTGCCGATTAACCTGCTAATCATTCTTCGAATCGAAGTGTCAGATTCAGGGTTGTTGGGTACTGTTGAATTTGTGAGAGGCATTTTCTTGATACGACTGATAAACATTTTAATAACATAAAACTATTTTCAAAATGGTAAGTTAATGAGTCTCAAGCAGTTCAATATTACATTTATTCAGTTCTGAAGTCAGCTTCGAAATACTTTGGATACTGTTGTTGCTTCTAGGTTATGCGGGAAATGCATTGTCATCAAGACTAACATTTATTATAATTTTAAAATATAAACAGATCATAAGTAATTATTGCTAATATGACACATATTTAATGCATAGAATATTGAAATCTCGTTAATCTATTTGATTTAAAGTTCTGACACTTTTAGCAAAATATAAAAGAATGTACACATTAGAGACTTTCTTTTACTTAAGTGAATCTTTTGATGAATATAATGGTTTTATTTTACTCATATTTGCTCGTTTATATTTGAGATAAAATAAAAATTGAAACTTTAATAGAAATTTTGATAGAAATTTTAAAATTTTGAATTGTTCATTGCAATTGACTCAATATTTTTTAATTACATCTTGTTATATATTTTACAGGCACGTAGATATGATACACGTACCACAATTTTCTCGCCAGAAGGAAGACTGTATCAAGTCGAATATGCTATGGAAGCTATAAGCCATGCCGGTACTTGCCTGGGTATATTAGCAAACGATGGTATTCTACTGGCAGCTGAGAAACGTAACACCAACAAGTTGCTCGACGAGGTATTCTTCTCCGAAAAAATCTACAAGTTGAACAATGATATAGTTTGTTCAGTAGCTGGTATAACTTCGGACGCGAATGTCCTGACGAATGAGTTGCGCCTTATCGCGCAGAGATACCTTCTTCAGTATGGTGAAGCTATACCTTGTGAGCAACTTGTCTCGTGGTTATGCGATGTTAAACAGGCATATACTCAATATGGTGGAAAGAGACCTTTTGGTGTATCTATTTTATATATGGGATGGGACAAATACTACGGCTATCAGTTGTATCAGTCAGATCCTAGCGGAAACTATGGTGGTTGGAAAGCAACATGTATCGGGAATAATTCAGCAGCAGCTGTGTCATCTTTGAAGCAAGAATACAAAGAGGGCGAAACAACTTTGAAAGATGCAATGGCACTTGCTATCAAAGTGCTCTCTAAAACATTAGACATGAATAAACTCACTGCTGAAAAGGGTAAATTTTTATTTAATTCTAAATTAGAGCAATATTGATTTTAATCTCTATTTCTATGAATGTAGATTAATTTCAATCTTGATTTAATTTAATACTCTTTCGAATTTTTAAAAAAGATAGAAAATAAGTTAAATAAGATTAAAGTTATTCTTCATTCATAAAAGACATAAGTTAATGAGATTGTAAACATAGTTTTTTAATGAATTCAATTGGATACAGTGAAATATAAATATTTGGAATTGTGAAATATACTTTATCTAACGATAGAATAAAATGTATTGATTGAAGATTTAACCTGTTTCTATATTTGTATTATATACACTTTTATATCAATCTATATTGACACAGAATTAAAAATGTACAACAATAGTTTTAATATTAGTGTGTCCAATTAAATTTATTATTAGACACATTTTGTGATAGATAATTTATAACAAAATTATTGACGTATGTTCATTTCTTTTACTTACAGTGGAAATGGCGATACTGACGCGCGAAGATGGTAAAACAAAAACGAAAATATTACCAGCAAATGAAGTGAACGCCTTAATCGCGGAACATGACCGATTAGAAGCACTGGCGGAGCAGGCGAAGAAAGAAAAGCAGAAATCGTAAAAATTTATATTAAATAAGAAGATTAATCCACTGTGGTGACGAAGTTTACTGTATCAGGAAAAAATTGATATACAACTCAAGTGTTTATATATGTACTATAAATTATTTTCTTGTCGCAGGAGTGAATCCTTACAATGATAACATTATCATCTTCATTACAAAACAACGGTTATAATAGGATTAAAAGTTTTTCCATAAATATGTATTACATGTTATACTTCTTCTCCTTGCAATTTCCTATGTTCTCATCTCATCATCTCATCATTAACATAATCGATGTGATTTTGAATAATTATAATTGCCCAAGGTTCATTTTAGATTAATTATAGATCTATAATTTGTGTTAAAATTCGAGATAGAATTTGATTCAATTTTACTTATATTGTTAATACACAAAAATAATTGGAGATCCATAAATGCATATACATTAATTTAAAAAAAAACCGAAATATAGTATTAGTTGATTTTTGAATTAATATACAACAAATTAAAAATATTTGAAAACTCATAAATATATAAGTATTAAAAGACGCGTCGAAATATAGGTATGTAAGTATGAATAGAATCACATCCTGAAATGTGAATTATAGATTATGTAAAATCATTTAATTTTTAATAATATTTTCTATTAATACAAATGAAATATAGCATACTAGTTGGTTTTTAATTAATATATAACAAAAATATTAAAATATTCAGTAAACACAAGAACTGAGATGTTAATTCCTTTCTCCTTAGAATACTAAGAGTTTTCTGTAGCTGAACTAAGTGTATATATTTAAAACTTAAAATGAGATAGATATACGTTTGATACTTGGTGAAAGCAAGAAAGAGAGAGTCCCCTCTCTTTCTCGTACAATTCAGTACACAGGAATAAAAAAACAGACTTTAAATTTTAACTCTTTCCATCTTTTTAATTTTTTAATAAAGACATGTAATAATAAATCAATATAATTCCCGAAGACTAAAAATGGACAATATTTAAGAAAAGGAGCACCAATTCAAACTTTGCCTTGGATTTCTCCATAGACATTGGAATGTTGTATAGTTGTATGGTATTAAAAAAATACAGCAAAAAATATATTGAAAAAATCAGATTTTTGGTGAAAGTATATGAGGAGACTTTGAGGATTGTTGGAAAATTGAAAAAAAAAGTGCAAAAAGTTATGTGTCGGATCATATCAACCAGGCTGTCAATGCGGTCCCACTCCCGGGCGCGATCCCACTACTGCCCGCCACGGAGACTTTTGGCTGCTGGGTTTCCCCTCTGGCCCGGTTCGCCTCTCCTTAGCTAACCTGGCCACCCCGGACTCCTCCAGGGTGTCCATATTGATGGCGAGCTTAGTGCGGACGCCCAGTCAACGTGAGCCCCGCACCAGCAGGTACCCCCGACCTCAGACCCTCCGACATAACCAGCCTCCGAGTAGCCGGATTACAGGAGCCGCCACACTCCCAGCTGAAAGAGTACTTGCGACTTGTCCTTATAAGCTATTGGAGATCGATCGGTTTCACCTAAAATTCATTCATAAATATTGTTTTTATAGTCGTAAAAAATATAAATTAAATATTTCTCCATATGAATTAAATATTTTGTATTTTTTTTGGGCTCTAATTTCTTACAATCAGATATATAAATACATATAAAATTAAAATTAATATACGTCGCATTAAATGGGAGTAACACACGACAGCGCCATTTAGGATATGTTGCGTTTAAAGTCGCTCATTTGGTAACTTGATAAGTTCGACAAGAAATTATTTGTCGGTAATAAAGTTCCTTAAGTAATGCTAATATAAATAAATTATATCATTTTAATCTCGGTTCAATTTATTCTTTATATTTTTTTAATTGTAGATTAAGTTTCATTTTGGTTTAATTTATCCCTATAATCTTTTTCTTAAATTCTTAGAATTTCTTAGAAATTCTTAGAAAAACAAAGAAAAAAAAAGTTAAATAATTTATGTTAATAGAAAAAAAGTTAATTAATTTATGTTAGTAGAAATGAGAATAATTATTAATTATATAAATTAGAAAAAGATAAACAAAATTGTACTTTAGAGTTTATAAATAAAATTTTAGCAAAGACATAAATCACCTTTGGTTTTTGTTTACCATGCATTGGTAAACCTAACCTAAGTGCAGTAATAATCAAATGCCAGAAGATAACTAAGAATTCCGACATTGTCAATTATCTTGGTTATTTTTTCGGCGGTGTGGGATATGGGAATTGGGATACACGATACACGCCAAGCGAGGTTAGGTCGGGGCGGAGGTGTAAACCGACGCGAATCATGTTAATTTATTTGTAACAGGTGACGACGAAGGGATTCGACAGAAACGTAACATGACAGAGGCACGCAATTTGTATTGTTGACGATAGTAAAAATATTCGCCCGCGAACGATCTGCTCGCAATGGCCGATAATAACCTGCCGAAGGTTTTTGCAGCTGAAGACTTTAATCCAGAGAAATGTGAGTACGCATATCATGTTCGAGAATATGAAAAAGTGACGATTTAAAAAAAAAATCATTATGCGACCGGTCGTACTTTGTTTTCAATTTATAATATTTGATATTTAGGTTCTACACTATACTTTATGCCTCTCTTATTAGTTCGATATAAATAGTTAATTTATTAATTAATTACATGAAATTGGAGACAAATATACAAAATATGTAGATACATATGAAAATATATTTTTAAAATCAATCGTATATTTTATCAATCTCTGATACTTTTTTACGAGATGTTTAGGATCTATACTGTATCCTTTCGCTTTTTTTTTAAATCCGATAAATAGTTAATTTGCTAATTAATTATAGAATTGAAAATAGTATAGAATTGAAAATAAATATAAAAATATATTTAAAAATTAGTATGGAATTATATTTTATCAATCTCTGATGAGAATTATTCTCTCTCTCTCTCTCTCTCTCTCTCTCTCTCTCTCTCTTTCTTTCTCTTTCTCTTAAGTCCAACATAAGTAGTAATTTATTAATTAATTGCATATGAAATTGGAAAATAATAAGGAAACACAGTAAGGAAAAACAGTATTACAAGATTAGTATTTATCTGTTATAATAACTATTTTTGTTCTTACAGTTGTGAAGGAGCTGAGTGCACAATGTATTGGTGCAGACGAATTGAGACAACAGCGCGCAAAAATCCAGGAACTAGCAAACAATACATCTGCTCAACTGAAACGGAATGTCTACCAAAACTATATGCAGTTTATCGAGACTGCCAAAGAGATCTCGCATTTGGAGAGTGAGATGTATCAGTTGTCTCAACTTCTGAGCGAACAGCGTGCTTTGTTGAGTACTCTAGGCTCTACCAGAACAACCGGCGTTGTTTTTGAGGATTTGCCCGAGTCACAACAGGAGAATTCGGCTGATTCTATGTCTAAAGAGGAAGAGCAAAAACAGAAACTCATTCAATTGATTGAAAATGTGGAAGGCGCCTTGGTTGGTATTTAACAAGTAAAATATATAAGGAACTACAAGGAATATTTCTTTTCAGCAGAACTTCTTATATAGTTCATCTTTTTTCTTTTTCTCTTCGTGTTGGAAAAAAAAGAGAGAAGATTAAGAAAGTGTAAAAAAGTACAAAAAAATTCAGCTAAAGATGTAGATTTATTAGATTTAGTTGACGCTTTACTTCTTTTCTTACTTCTCATTTTGCAGAGCCTAGCCGAGACTCCAGGACGTGTGTGTTTACACGAAGGATCCCTGCTCGAGTTAGATCCGATCGACGGTACGCCGTTAAAAAGAATTCACGCATATTTATTCAACGATGTTCTAATGGTTGCGTCCTGGTTGGCGAATGGTGGCAGACGCGGCCCACCTAGGTACAAAATGCAAGCAGTTTATAATCTAGAAAGCCTGGCGATTATCAACGTAAGAGATCACGGCACTGTAAAACTGGCGTTCAAATTACTGGCATTCTCCGATACGAGAGTGTTTCAGTGTGCTACAGCGACAAGTAAAGTTAGTGTGTTTGAAAACAACGATCGCGAATCGAAGGGATATTATTTGAATCTACTTACTTTGTAGAAAGAGTGGTTAGATAAATGCGAGCAAGCGAAAAGAACAAAGTTGGCGGAAGAGAATTCAGTCAACGCATCGGAAAACGATAAGCATCCGAAGGAGGACAAAGCGGTGCCGTCTCGTTCGATGTCTTTGGAATCGAATACGTTAGGTAAAATTTGCAAATAGAAATGATTCTGCATTTCATAAATATTCTTCGTTACTCATATACTACATATACTATATATCCTATTTTATATCCGTTTCTATCAATATAAATTAACTTCAATCTTAGTTCAATTTACTCTTTATCTTATTCTAATTCTAAAAATTAAAAATGGTGAGTCAAGTTGAACGGAGATTAAACTTAATCTGTGTTGGAAGAAACAGACATTAATCCTTTTTATTGAGTTTTTTTTCGTCAAGTTTTACGTTTAAATTATCTCTAGGAATGGAAGACGACGATGACTCGGAGTACTACGAACCGCTGCCGGAGTGGGTGCTGGAAGTAGCCGAGGATCTAGATTCCTGCATAGCACAACGTCATTTTGAGGAGGCTTACGGTTTGTTAGAGAAGGCGAAGACTTATTTGAAGGACGCTCAATCGACACCGCTATTGATGGAGATTCAAACGAAAGTGAACGAGAGAGGCTGCTCACTCGTAAACGTATTGACTAAGGAATTGGAGTTAAGTGCAGAAGCGAAGTCGCTACAGGGTGGCGGTCTGAGAAGTGCTCGACGTGCGGTAAAACTCCTTATACAGCTAAACAGAAGCGCACAAGCATGTCACTTGTATCTGCGATTATGCAGTGCGGTGCTGAAGGCGCGACTGGAGAGGATCAAAGAAGAGGGCACAATCGTGGCCTATGTGAAACAGATTAGTGCGATCGCCTTCAGTAATATAGTTGAGATAGCGAGAGAATTTCTGAAAACCTTTCCTAAATCTACAAATTGCACTTCTGGTAATTTAGCATCAAGATCCGCAAATCAATTTCATAATCGAATAATGAATTAATTTTATGTACTTGTCATTTAAGGCTTAGTTGTATGGTGCAGTCAGGAAGTGAAACATTTAACGTCGCACTTATCTCAGCAGCTGTTTGTGCCAAAGGTCACGCTAAGCACATTGGTAGAATGTATTGTCACTGTTCGAAGTCATTGCGATCAGGTTTG